GGCCAGTCCATACAGGTGATATCCTCCGATTGAAGGCATTCGATTACGATGTTTGCACGGTGAGGGAAGTCGTTGTCATCCATAAACACAAATTGTGCGCCCATGGCGCCCCGAAACAAACATACATGTTGTTTCAGAATGACGTCCCGATAGATTTGGCTTGTCATGGTTCCAATTTGAACATGCAGGTCAGTTCTGGAACCCAGAATAATTCCACCCCAAACGAGCACTCCTGCACCACCGTAATGGTGTCGTTCCATGATGTTTTCTTGGTGGTAACGGGTACCTGGAGCTCTCCATATGAAAGTCCAGTGAGAATCAGACTGCAAGCTAAACCTGGACTCGTCGGAAAACTTCACACAAGCCCACTGTCGCGGTGTCCACAATGCATGCTCTCTACTCCAGGCTAACCGCAAGCGACAGCGAGTTGCAGTAAGTGGAACGCATCTGACAGATCTACAAGCATATAGACCAATCTGCCCTAAGCGTCTGTACACGGTCTGCCTTGAAATTGTCGTACCAGTGCTGAAGAGAGCTGACGATACAGGTCTGAGGCTGTGCTCCGCCTGTTTCTTTTGGCAGTAACTGCCAAATACCGGTCCTCATTCGGCATTGTAACTCTGGGGCGAATAATTTGTAACCTTGGAGTGCAAACAATGTATCTGCCTTCATTACTAGTTATTTTCTTTTCATAATGCTTCAAAGCAAGGTCTTGTAATTCTAATTTTGTTTGCTTTTTACTGCGATCTTTTATGCCTAACAAATCCAGTTCTCATAAATCTGATATTTTTTCAAAATTTGTAAGCAAAAAGTGCACCAACAGTGACTTTTTTTTTTTTTTTTTTTTTGTCAGATTCAGATTGGATCAGATTCTTGTTTAGATTTTCCTAAAATGGTCCATTCTAAGTGTTTTTCTGCTGAACTGAACAGTTAGGATCAGATTCGTATTTAGATTTTCCTAAAATGGTCTGTCCTAAATGTGTTTCTGATGAACTTCAAAAGTCTTTAATCTGGACTCGTCGGGACTTCGGCGATTCCAGATTATAGATCATCAATTTAAATCTGGTAAGATGGCGTGCAGAAATTATAAAATTAAAAATATGAAACCGTAATTTATGAAATAAAGAGCAATTATGATCTAAAGGGTATCAAAATTTTTTACAAAAAAAGAAGCTGAATATTTATTTGTTTACTTTATTAAACATTTCTTTCAAAGCACGCTTGGCGTAAAGCATACATTACTCATAGTCGAAATTAGAAAATTGCAACCTGGAAACTATTTGATGTATATTTCGTGATATTTATAATGACGTGGAAATTTGATTTAAATCATATCAAAGATGAAGTACATCGAAGATGAAATGCTACACTAGTAAGGAATTATAAGCCGAATAAAATAAAAACATCTGCCCTGGAGATGAGGATAGTGCTGACAGATCAACTTCCAGTTCATTGCGCACTGCTGGGACAGAAATTAATAAACAGATTTTGGAAGACCATGTGTTGTTGTTTCTTTTTCTATACTCTTCAAAACCATGGCTTTTGCAATATATTGCTGTATGCATACAGGTTCGTAATAGATTGAATGCACACAGCTCTAATGGATAGGTTGATAAAATTTATTAAAAGAAACACTTCAGAGTTCTGAAACTTTCCACAGGATTAGTCAGTAGTTGCACTTGAAACTACTAGGAATGTTAAACATAATGCAATGCAAAGCACATCTAAAGAGTGAAGCTAACCGGAAGATACCTCAGTGCATGCTGAATGAACAACTTAAACAACAAGTTCAAAAGCTTTTACCCATATTTTACATAAGTATGTTCAGCTGGGTTGCATCATCAAAGTGCATAAAAACATAAATTTTATTTTTAAAATTTTAAATTTCTACCAAAATTTTAAAAGTTTTTGTCTTTAGACTTACATAACTATATTCAAGCATTCATCTCTTCAAAAGTACACAAAATTAATTTTTAACAATTGGCAGCTACCTGGAAAAAAATGTCTTAGCTGCTCTCAGCAATTTACATTTTCTTTTAATTAACTTATATGATTGTTCCTTGGCTATATTTGAACATATACACATAACAAAAATTTTAACATAACAAATTTGTGAGAATGCTGTCACTTCAAATTAAATTAAAAATATAAAAATTTTCAATAAATATCAGTTTGTTCGAAAGTATACATGAGGCAGTTCACTTTTATCAGTCTAATGAATTCAAATATAAATATGCTATGCTAAGCTTCAGTGTTTCACAATGATAAAATGAATACAAGTCAACATTCAAATTATAATAAAATTTTGAAGTAATATATTTCAAAATTATTTCTAGTTTCAAGTTCAATATTTATGTAATTATTCATTTTAAATAATTAATAATAATCGTCATTTCAAAATCAATTAATCAAGCTCAGTATCCCAGCAGAGATGCCATTTTGAAAATTATAAGCGTGATAATTAAGGCTTTAAGTTTAAAATTCTGAATTAAGGAGGAACAAAAAGTTTTATTAACTATTTTTCAACCAAAGGTTCTAATCCACCTAGACAAAATTTCAACAAACTGTACTTGAAATGTACTCGAAGAAAACACTGTTATTTCAAATAATTCTTACAAGTTGAACACGAAAAAACATAGTTACAAAGCAATGCATATCTTAAAAAAAAAAATCTCATGTGGACACTGTATAACTTCCTTGTATGACCTATTAAATTATGCACATTTTTTGCTGCATTTAGTATAAACTTACTTCCTTGAATTTCATTAGAATAGTTTTAAATAATATTAAAAAGTTAGTTGTAAATAATATTTAAAAAATAATCCTTATTTTATTCCCTTTCAGAAATATTCAGAGAAAGTCAAGTACTATTTAAAGTATTTCGCTATTAAATTAAAAGTTGCTCTAATTTGAAATGGACCGAATAGAGCATTAATTATAAATTGACTTATAGTTTTCGATTTAAAAGATGCCTTAGAAGCTAAAAAATCATGTCATATTTGAGACAGTATTTTAGGAAGAAGCTCTATAAATAGAAAAGAAATAATGCATAATTTTAATAACACAAAAAACTTTGATCTTAATTTTTGTAATCCTTAACTGAATCAAATCGAATTACCTTAATTTTTTTTTTCTAATGTAATTAACAAAAACTTGTGAAAATATTTCAAATTAAACCATTCTGAGCAAACTGTTCTATGAAAAGTATAGCATTTAATTCCATTCAGAATGAAATGTTGTTTAAAAATGTATTCTTTTCATATACTTAGGACTGAAAAGTATTGTAGAAAAAGAAAATATGTACATTTATATGTATAATTATGACTTAATTATAAAATATTTACATCCGATCGTGTCAAAACCCATTGAACTCAATGGTAAATAAACCAATGTTTTGTTCACCAAAGAAGGGATCGCCAGTGCTTCAAAGCAAATGTATGGGAAAATCGGTTTAGGACCACTCCATCTAACTTCGTACCGCCATGGTTCACACGTACAAGATAAATTGTCTCCATTTTTATTACACCGTAATGGAAATATGCACACTAAAATGAAAAAGTATAACATTCTAAATTTGAATGCTTATTAACTGTAAATGTACAATGTTTTTATGATATTACTGTTACATGTATGTTTTAAATTCTAAATAAAAAATGTAGTATGAATGATATTCACAAAAGGAAATGAATCTTAAATGAGAAATTTGTCCTAAAAAGAATATAACTTATCACAACTAAATTCAGATATAAAACTTCTGAAAAGAAAATTCATAGATGGCTTGCAAATAATTTTAAACACCATCCGGTGCTTAAACTCTTTTTTATTATAAATCAGACATGAAATATATAGCAAGTAAAAATGAGATTAATTAATTGGAGTGAATAGATACTAAATGAAAACTGGTCTTTAGAAAACAAAAAGAAATACCGTTTATTAAATAGGCAGAGTGTCTTTATTGTGAGCTTAATTTCTTCACAAATTCTTTCAAGAAGGGGTAGAATTAATAAATGAAATCAATATTAGAGATTTGGAATGGGAAAAAATACTACATATTCTCATAACTATTTCCAGTTGATATAGCTTGGTATCCAACCCGAAGTTAAAAAGAACAAGGACTTCTGCTTTCAGTTACTACAGTATTTAGTGCAGTATTTTAAAAAGTTTTACAAAATTTTTGACTATTTTACTGCAGAATTTTATCCAGTTGTTTCGCAATTCTAGTTATTGATGGAAACGTGGCATTAGAAGGATTTAGTCTAACTGTGCCACTGTTCTGGAGAATAGTTATCCAAATGAACTATTATCATAGGGATATACTAACTTCAGAGTTAACCAGTGGGCTTCCAAGACTATCTTTAACAAAACAAAAAAGAAAGGAGGGGAAAAAAAGGCCTTGGTGCATAATTTAAAACCTTTAGTAAAATTTGATGTTAATTGTTGTAAAATATTTTAATAAATCTAAACAAGCTAGCTGACTGCTATTTGACATATGCTTCGGCTGTAGTAGCAGTTGTAGTACTTATAACTGATACACTGCATTGAATTTCAGCAAAATTGTAGCCTACTTTAAATTTATATTTGATTTTTTAATTTTTAGATAACATTTATTTTATTATGTAAGTTACTGTCTTTTAATTATAGTCTTATCGAATGTTCATTAAAACTCTTATCTGATGTCAAGGCATGTTTCATTTTTAATTTATTACTTTTGTAAGACCTTTTGAGTATAAGAAAATGGAATCCTTAGAACATTTAATTTGTTATCAGATGGGAAAAGAATATATTTATTTGAGCACTTTGTAGTTTGTTAGAAAGGTATAATTGTTCCAAGGTTATTTTGCAGTAATTTTGGCAGGTTTACCGCATTTCATTTTGTGTAAGTCCTGTATGTAGTATTCATTGACATTTATTGTTGTATATAAATCAAATCATAATTGTAGTTTTGTGTTTGTAATTAATATAATTTGTGCTTTAAAAGTTGTTTTTTTTTCCCCGGGTAGGTTTCATTCGCACCAGAAGCAGATCTTGTTCAAACAGTACCAGTAGAGTACTGTGAAAGAAAAGGTGAATGGGAAATGTATGCCTCAGAAAGACTTCGTTTCAAAAGGAAAATAGAAGATCTTGAAAAAGTGCTGTCACCTTGTCTCTCTAGCATTCATAGAGCTAAAATATTTTCCAGATTGCAGCAATCAGAGTTATGATAATGCTTTTAGTAATGTTAAAGAATCAAGACACATACAGTTAAAATAAAATATCATCTATGTTAACCCTCCAAGCAGCTTAACAATTATTTTTTAACAATATATAAAGCTCAGTTGTTTGGAGGGTTAACCCTTTAGCGCACGCAATATTATTTTTATAATTTTTTTTAATTAAAAACTGTAGAAATTAAATATTATGATCGTAGAGACAAAGAATATATGAATTTAAAAAAATCTACCCTTGACCATTGTTCTGTGAGTCGCACTGTGAAACCGCCACGTGTCTAGGACTTTGAAACTTATTGAGGTAGTAGGGGCGGGTAAAATAAACTTTCTCCGAGTGAATTTCCAATAAATGATGAAAATTACAAATTTTAAAAAAATGTATGTAAGAATTGCATTATATATAATTTTTTTACATTATTTTACGAAGTAAATCATCGGAAAAAATTTAAAAATAAACATTTATTTAATTTTTCTGTAGCAGTGAAAACGTAAGTACCTACATAATAAGGACGTTTGGCTAAACAGATAAGAAAACTCAGTAAAATAAGGATAAAAAAACAAACTCGAGAGGTTCCCCCCCCCCCAAAGAAAAAAAAAAAAACCCATTTGTGACACTGTTTAAAGCATGTTTTGTCTTTTTGGTACATGCATAGATCCACATTGCACGTTTCACACGTGTATCTTCTATGAGGTTTCTTCCTTGTGCTACAAAATGTACACTGCCTGGATCTAAATTTCACTGGTATAAGTCCAGTGTTATTTAATTTCTTTTCGTCTGGCACATGAAATTTGTTTTTTATGTTAATTGGATGGAGCTTGGTATTTTTGGCTTTGGTACGGATCATTCGTTTCCCATTCATACTTATTTTATTCGTATTTCGTCTCGAAATATTCAGAAAATATTTTAAATTTAAATAAAACTTTAAGCGATTTCTATTTTTAATTATAGCAAAGTATATTTACATTAAATTTAAACCACAGGAAATAATTTATAAAATCACAATACTAGCTAGGGAGCTAGGGAAGCAAGTGTGTTGAGGTCAGAGAAAAGTCTCTGGAAAAGAAAGACCTTTTACTGGGCACGTGCATGTATTGTATTTAGTAATAGAATAACTTTGTGATTTCAAAACCCATTATCTATATCCGGGTAAAAATAAACATTTCCTATTTGAGAAGCAAGCAAATGCACTACTGTATGAAGAAGCAGTGGTTTGAATGGCATGACCACGGAGCCTCTAGAGCATTGTGACACAAATGCTCTAGTGGGGCAGTGGTTGCACCCTTGAAACCACATAGTAAACGCCATACATATAGAGGGTTTTTTTTATTCTATATGCAGTTTAATTACTGCTATTTTTTATTGTTTATGATAGAAATCATGATGAGCGATGAATAACTTTTGAAATTTAAAGTTTTTTATATTAATAAAAGGAAGTTATCTTGTCTCATTGAAAACGAATTTTAAAAGGCATCCAATTTGAAGTACTAAGACCTAAAACATATATGATTCTGCAGTCATTTTGTGTTATCTAGAAGTAAAAGATCAGTAATCAGTCGATTTTCATTCAAAAATTTCGGAAAAAAGAATAGGAAAAAATTCGAAAATTTGTGCTTTCAGGGCGCGACCACCGCACGTCAAATGGTTAAAAGGCATGTTTTGCAGGTATCTCACATACAAATGCTCCTCCTAGTAATATTTAAAGATGTGGTTTTTAGCTTATTAACCTAGATTATTTTTTAATATAATTTATTTATACATTTTCTAGGATTTTTATTATTTCAATCTTTAGTAATAATAAATTTCATAAAAACCTTAATAAAGTTAGTTTTAATACAGTTTTTAAAGGTTCAGATGGAATAATGTGAGCCTTTAAAAATTTGCTTTTGCTGATATCTTTAGCTTTAGATGCATTTTTGTACCTGGTCTGTAATTTATTTATTTGTCAGCACTTGCTTACTAAGCAAAGCAAATGCTGCCAAATAAAAAATCCTGTACTGTGATAAGTTTTTACCTCAAATGCTTAAAAAAAAATTGAAAACTTACACAGAGATATGCTCTATATTATTATTGCATATATATGTGTGTGTTTTCCAACTGTGCAGTTAAGTCTCCCCAAGATATAATGCAGAGAACCATTGTCGATCTGTTGCAGCTTACTCCAAATCATCTTATTACGCATATAAACTTTATTTGCAATTATGTGTATTTATATACATAAATGTGTTTTTCATTTTCAACAAAGATTCCTGGTATTTATTTAATTAGTGCAGATTTTTTTAATGTTAAATATGTGAAATTTTTCATTTATGTTTTATGTAATTGTATATAACAGTTTAATTGTTGGCACTCCATTCTTCCTGAAAGCTGAGGTGTTGCTGATTTTTCAGCAGATATTTCCAAAAGAAAAAGAACTGAGTATGAATTTTAAATCATTAATGATGTTCTTGTTGCTCCTTAAAATATTGACCCTGTTTTACATTTTTTCCCCCAATTTGCTGCTCTTCAGTATGCTTCACAATACTGTGAAATAAATTAATATTGAAAACTGTAATAAATGTATCATACACAGAGATGTAATAATTTGGAGTTGTGTATAAAAATATACATTTTATTGAAAACGTGACTTATATGTAATGTTTTTAACTGTTAAAGAAATGTATGATTCTTAAAATTGTATGTTTTATGAAAGAAAACTTCATCTTTTCCTTTAATTTATGTACCAATTATTGGATGCAATATAAATAAATATTATATTAAAAATTGTTCAATGTTTAAAAATAAAGTAATTTTTTCATAAAAATTTCCAGTTATTATGCAGTTAAATTTCACTATTGTTTAATGACTGTAAAAAAGAAAGCAATTTGTTTTAAAAATTCTGTTTATGAGGAAAATATATTTTCTGCAGCAAAACGATCTGATCAGTACCAGTCACACCACATAAAGTGCAAATTCAGGTGGATTAAAAAAAAAGTCATTTTTTAGCTAAAAAACCTTAGCTTCGTACACAGCAGTGCAAGTAAACTTGGAATTCATTAAGGCCAAGAAATAAACATAATGAATTGTCAACATTCGGTGGCTTTTAATTTAACGCTTAAAATTCCTTCTATACACACAGAAAACTTGAATGAAAAAGAATTCGTCAGTTACTCTGAACCTTCTTTATTTATACTAGACATAACACAAACCAGTCCATATATTTTAGCCATGTTTACTTTTTAAAAACTCTCATTTTTCAAAGAAATGTTCCAGATTTTTGGAGGGGATATAAAAGGAATTGTTTGAAAAGAAGTTTCTATGTTATTTTCTTGGCTGTATGCTGATGTCTTTATATTTATTTTAAATTTTTACCTTGAAATCATGCCTAAAATAGAATGGCGAGCATCTGGTGTGCCCAGAGTGAGATCGCTGAAACACTAGGACCAGATCAAAACTGTAGCTTTGTTTCACTGCAGTTCTCCTGTGAGCTCATTCACAAACCAATTTTATCAGTTTAGCTCTTTGGTTTTTAATTAGAGTTCTCTTTTGCTTTTGTTGAAAGAAGTTTTATTAGCTATGCGTTTTGAGTTGTAGATGTTTAATTTTATTTTATAGTTTAAACTTTCTTTAATTGTAAATATAATATCAGTTTATTTGTTTCTGATTTTTAATTATTTTGCAAATGGATCAGAGAGGGCTGACCATTTGTGAAGCATTGAAAGTGTATACAAATTGCCTTCAGATAGTGAATATGATACAGATCTTGGTACATGTGCAAAACATACAATGTTGGATTGTGCTTTTTCAAAGGTGGTATCGTTTTCTTCGAGAAGTAGCACCAAGGGAAAAAAATAGAAAGTGTAACTGTCATGTAGCCAAGTTATGTTTTTTCATTTATGCAGGTGTAATCTTAATATGACCAAGAAAAGCTTTTTGGTTGGAAGTCTAGAGTAGCAGGCTTTGCCGTGGCACACCTTTGGTAATGCTACATCTGCTGCAATAATCAGAATCTTGTGTTTTTTAATCATAGGCAAAATCTTTTACTCTATTACGTGTTTCTTAGCAATGCTCTCTTCACCATTCTTTTTGAAGGTCTATTCATTCAGTGAGTCTGCTTCAGGCAGACTCGCAGAATTAAAACGGTAAGTGCTATCTTTACAAAATTTTACTTTTGTGTACTCCTCTAGGGCGGATTAGACTTTTTTTTTTTTTTTTTCCCTCTCTCTCTCTCTCTTTCTGTTGTTGAAATTCCAGCTTTAAAAGGTAGCGTACTCGAAAGGGTTAACTGCTGGACTATACGTGACTGTGACTTAAGCAGAACTGATGTATTTAAAAGCTAAATTCTGGCTGCATGTAGACAAGAGGGGAACTTACTGTCCCATCACAGATTTCCAGTAAAAGTAAACACAGTTCAGAAGAAAATAATTATAACTTCAGCTATACAGCTCGTATATTATGAAATAGAGGACTATAGGATTTAAACTAACATAAAACCAAATGATTCACAAAGTCTCTCTGTAAAATTTTGCACCGACCCTCTAATCACACAAGTGAACAGGGCTAGCAAAATTAAAACCAAACGTGGTAATCTAGGAGCTAGAATTAAGTAGTACAAGGTCAGCACATTCCAGCAGAATGCATGCTGGAAGTAAATAGTACAAAGCTCTCTTTTTAGTTTTAAGAACTATTCTTCTTATGTATATTAACTAATTTGCATTCTTTCGCTTGCCAACAGAAACAGCTTAAATTGCACTGAAGCTTGGCTTGCCCCCCCCCAGTACTTCATAATTTTAGCTAGAGCTCTAAATACTTTATGTAACTCAAATACATTGAAAAATTCTTTTGACGTCAAAAATTTTATTTTAATAAAGTAAGGCTTAAAAGTTAATCCTAACTTCTAAATACATGCCTCTGCATAATTGGGAACAAACTTTGGGAAGCAGGTAAAGATTTTAAAGAAAAGAATGCTCCCACCACATGTTAAAGCTTATTCTTCAGGAAGTGCAATGAATTTATGAAAGCAACCAACTCAATGATTTCCCGCGAAAAAGAGCACCTGCTGGCTTTATGGAACAATGTAGCCAAATTTGGAGGGCGAAAATACACTCATGTCCAAAATTATCTTTACATGCCCAAAAATGATAATATTCAATGAATTATCGAATCAATGTGATCCGTATTTGCAGGGAATGTGTGAAACCAAGCCTAATTAGCATTATCCAATCAAAAGTAATCAAAGTTTGTGATATGCAAATTACGTCATCCAAGGTGTGAATCAAAGCTCTTTGCGCAAACTGATATTTGATGAATTTTGCAACATAGCGTTTGATTTCAGTGTGTAGGAAACTCAAAGCGGTTTGTTATGGCTTCGAAGTATCATTTGGAAATCTGTAAAGTGGCGATTATCGGCCGTTAGAAGCGGGCCATCAATCATGGAAACAGCCACATGTCTGAATATTTCAAGACAGAC